CTGTCTGCCTAGTGCGCGATCATAACACTAGGGATTATAGGGTTTAGGGTTAAACCCTAAATAATTACTAAACCCTAAACCCTAAACCCAGACAGCTTGTTGCTTGCTATAAGTCTCTGTTATGGTACTTGACTGAAAGAAGGACCCCCGGAAGGCAGGGCTTGCAGGGTTCCGGTTCCAAACAGGCACAGAAACGTCGATTTCCGGGTACAGGTTTCCGACAATGGACAGCGAGAAGAGGAGTTTTAGGGTTCAGGGGTTTGGGTTTAGGGGTTTGGGTTTAGGGGTTAGGGTTTAGGGGTTAGGGTTTAGGGGTTAGGGTTTAGGGGTTATGGTTTATGATTTGGGGTTTAGGGTTTAGGGTTTTTAGGAACCCTAAACCCGCAAGCCTCCCTGCTTTTCGGGGTATAGGGGGGTTGCCGGGTGTGAGGATGCACGGTTTCAGCGACCGATTCCCCCGAAACTCTACCGGCGCCTTAGCCCTGAACAAAACCGAAGCATGGCTAATCTTCGGCTTTCATAGAAGCACAAACACTTGCCTGTACAATTTTGCGGCTTCCTTATTATAAATATATTACTATATATATATATATATGTATATACACACACCCCAAAACCCTATTCAAATTGTTAAGGCGGGCCCCTACATTAGTCTTTCGGGCTTTATTGAATAGCGGCCCCTTGGGCGACAGGGATATGCTCCCTCCGGCACCGGCAGAGACGCAGGGGACGCGCCGGCCCCAGAAAGCCTTTCGGGTTCTAGGGTTTTGGGTTTAGGGGTGTAGGGGTTTAGGGTTTAGGGTTCGGGTTTAGGGTTTAGGGTTTAGGTTTAGGGTGTACGGTTCTAGGGTTTAGGGCTCAGGGTTTAGGGTTTAGGTTTAGGGTCTAGGGTGTAGTGTAGGGTTTAGGGTGTAGGGGAACTCGGTGGAACATTTTTTGGGGTTGGCTCATGCTTCGAGCATGTTGTGTGCTGGCCCGCTGGCCATTGGGCTTGATTTCTTGTCTACACTTCGGGCATCCCCCGCGGCGGCTGAGCAGAAGAAGTGATGGGCTAGATAGTGCGATATTCTTGTAACTATGCAGGATAGCTGCGGGGCTTCCATTAAATTGTAACTCCAGGGCCATTGCCTAACAAGTGGGTATTGGATGGTACTAAAGCCTGGTGACGTAAAACCCTCGGGCGACGTGCGCCATAAGTTCCAAAAGCAAACCGCGGAACCCTGCAATCCGCCCAAAACCCCGAATCCTAAACCCTAAACCGCTAAACCCCAAACCCTAAACCGCTAAACCCCTAAACCCCGAAACCCCAAACCCTGTAACCGCGTCCCAAGGCGCCGGCCCACCGTCACCCAGCCCTTCTTCCCGCCGCCCTCGCCGGCGCGGCGGCCGCAACCGCTGGGCGGCCACAAGGCACAGGCCTTGTTGGGGGTGTCGGGTTGCGGGTTTAGGGGTTAGGGCCGTTTAGCGTTTAGGCTTTAAAGGGGGGGGAATTTAAATGTCAGGTCTGGGAGTTGGGGGTAGTACCCGGGTTTAGAATGAAGTTTGGCTTGCTTTTTTTTGGGGGGGGGGGCATCTGGCCTGGAGTTCAGGGTTTGTGTGCTGTAACCCTAAACCCTACCCTGCGACGGAAGTCAACATCCTTCGTGGTGGCCTAAACCCTAAACCCTAAACCCTAAACCCTAAACCCTAAACCCTAAACCGAACAGCTATGTCTTGGCTGCGCCGAGCGGACCGAGCTGCCGAGAAGGTAAGGAGCCTCGAGCGCTGGCACTCCCTGCGGTCAATGGGTTGCTCGGGAATGCAGTGACGGGTTTAGGGGTTTGGGGGTTTAGGGTTTAGGGGTTAGGGGTTTAGGGTTAGGGGTTTAGGGTTTAGGGGTTTAGGGTTTCGGGGTTTAGGGTTTTGGGCCTTTCGGTTTAGGGTCTGTGGATACCTCCAGTCTAGACGGGACATCATGGCAGGAATGCTGCTCGATCTGCATTATTATGCTGCAATCTAAGAAGCTTATGCGGCCATTCTGATACCTCCTTTTTGCTCAGGATCTCCGGACAAGGAAAGGTATTCCCTCGTCCTTGCCCCGTCCTTGAAAAAAAGGCCACTACAGCAACCCTACAACATAGATGCCTCAGCCTAGTAGAAGCAATCCTATACAACTCCTTCATAAGCCTCATCAGCTATTCAGCACAAAGACCCTACCCTTCATACAGAAGTTAAAACAGAAGCACAGTTCAAGCCCCCTCATACCCGTAAACCCAATAAACCCTAAACCCTCATATCCCCTAAGACGAATTCTGGCAGCCCGAGGGGTCTCCTTTAAAAAAAATTCGGGTTTCGGGTTTAGGGTTTAGGGTTTAGGGTTTAGGGTTTAGGGTTTAGGGTGACATTCACAAGGCCTTACAGTATCCTGCAGTCCCCAAGCCCTGAACCGTGAATCCTCAGCCTAAGCCTAAACCAGAACCTCTCCTGAAGAAGGACTTCGAGCCCCAGTTCCGGGTTTAGGGTTTTTGGGTTTTTGGGTTTTTGGGTTTAGGTTTTAGGTTTAGGGTTTAGGGTTTGGGTTTTTGGGTTTAGGGTTTAGGGAAAACCCTTATGACAATTTGTGGAACCTCTTCTGAATCATCATAGAGCTTTTATCAAGCCCTTGCCGAACCTGAGCCCTCGCACACTAAACCCCGAACACCTGAACCTCTCTGCTCCTATAACCCTCACCTTGAACCCTAAACCCTAAACCCTACACCCCAAACCCTCCACCCTAAACCCTACACCCTGAACCCTCCACCCTAAACCCTCCAGCCTGAACCCTAGACCCTAAACCCTCCACCCTGAACCCTACACCCTAAACCCTACACCCTAAACCCTACACCCTGAACCCTCAACCCCAGAAGCAACTCCCCTTCAGGCGCAAGCTTCTGCGACCCGGCCCGCTGAGATCGAAAGGCAGACGTCCTCGGACGAGGACCGCTCTTGCCGGTTTAGGGTTTAGGGTCAAGGGTGGGTCTTAAAGTTTGTCAAAAGGGCTTTTATACCGCACTTACAGGCTTTCACCAGAGTCTTCTTGGTTTTCAAGGATGTGATTGTAAGCTTTTGTCGCTTGGTTGTGCAGGTTTGGATGTTTTTCTCCGCTGATTGTGGAGTTTGGCCTTGGGGTTCAGGGTTCGGGGATGAGGCTTTAGGGGATGTGTCTGGTCAGGGTTTTAGGGTTTAGGGTTTAGGGTTTAGGGGTTCATAACGCAGGGTTTGGGATTTTAGACTTTCTTCTGCGTTCAGGGCTTCCTGGGTTCGAGCTGTTTCGGGAGTGTGCGAACCAAGACTTTTTTCAATAAAAAACTAGGCCCTAAACGCTAAATCCTAAACCCTAAACCCTAAACCCCTAAACCCCTAAACCCTAAACCATAAACCCTAAATCCTAAACCCTAAGCCCGTTTCAAACATGGGTTTAGGCCGTCGGGGTTTGAGGCCCCTGAGCTTTAGCGTATAGGTGTTTAGGGCGTCACGCTTGCAGTAGGTCTGGCTGGGACTCGGGGCTAGACTCTACAGTTAGGAACCCAAAAAAGGACATACTGTAAGCAGAAGCGTTTTATAGGGATATCCCTACCTTATTGGGCTTCATTATGAGGGGGGTTAGATGGGATAGCCCTATCCTAATTTTTGCTTATGTGCTTTTTGGGGCCCTATACAGTACGGTTTGGCAATCCCAAATCCCTATCATTATCTCTAAACCCTAAACCCCAAACCCTAAGCCCCTAAACCCCTAAACCCCTAAACCCGAAACCGCTAAACCCTCAACCCTAGACCCTATCACAATCAAGCTCAAGCCCAGGCCCGAATTTTTTTAACACAATGCCTCAAACCCGATATCAAACCCTAAGCCCTAGACCTAAACTTCAGCCTCAACCCTAAGCCCTAACCCCTAATCATGGTTAATGGTGTAGGGTTTAGGGGCCCTAAACCCTAAACCTCAAACCCTAAACCCCTAAACCCTAAAGCTCAAACCCTGAA